AGTACCTGATATTTTTTTCTCCATTTTTTGCTTTGTATTTGGATGAATCACATGTGACACACCAAAAGAGAAATTAGAAATTTCCAAGGCAAATTGAATCTTAACAGAAGAGGCGAAAGGTGCTTGTCAGCTTACTTAATCAAAAGCTTAGACCTAATTAGTTTCTTGGGATACTGACAAGAGGTTACAGGTATTTTGGTCACTTAATTTTTTTTTGCGGGGAGAGTTGTTTCTTTGAAAAGGATTTCAAACTTGTCTGATGTTCTTTTACTTAATTTAATTGCAGGCAGCTGATGATGTTCTGGTAATGCATACTTTTCAACCTCAAAGAAGAAAAAAATAGGCACAGACTGGCCCTAAGGGAAACTTTAATGACGTATCATTGCATAAAATGAAGAATGAAGGGAATAATGAAACAGCAAAATGAATTTTCAGTTACCAGTTGAGCATTGTGACTAATGGTCATGCTTTTTTTTCCACTGAAACATACTCCTCTGTATTTCAGAAGAACCTGGCAGGTGGTGCCTTTTGGGTAATAGCTCTTCAAAATTAAACTCAGAAGAAAGGAAATTTACTGCTTCCTTTAGGCTGTTTCAGCTTGAATGACAACATTAATAGTCTGTTTTGAGGGAGTTATCTTACTGGACAAGAGGTGGTTTGTGTGCACGGGCATTTTGCATGCGGACTTATGAAGGTAATGTGGCTTTATAGATTCTTTTTTGTAATGCCATTGCAATTAAAAAAAACAAAAACAAAAACAAAAAGAAACCACAATGCTTATTTAAAATTGCCAAAAGTGTCTGGCAGAATTTTAGTGGCAATTAGAAACTTAGCAAGCTGTGATTGTAAATAAAAGCCCGCCTGCAAGTTGCTTGGCCTTTATCCAAGCTTGTGACAATGACTTAGCAAGAATGCAAATAATATTACTATTGGGTATTTTGGAAAGGAACTGCATCCGCTCTTTAGTATTAGTTTCACCTTTTCTTTTGCACACATGTGTAAATAAATCAGTGTATGATGAGATGCACCAGCTTTTTTATGAAAATTGTCCTCTGATTGGTTTTCAAGAACGATCTTCTGTCTGTAGAATAGGGGGCAGAGGATTACCATGGATTTGCTCTTGAATGTATACACACCAGGATCTGGCAGGATTAAATAAAAATTCTGTGTTCTAAATTTCAGCGCTTTTCTGTGACTAAACAGATGCTAGTTTGTTCTCTACCTAGCCAGAGGTGAAACACCTTTCCAATAGCATGGGACAAAAAATAAGCATGAGCAGTGTTAAAAAGAACTGATACAGCTGAATTCACCAATGTGGGTTTTTTGTGTATATCTGTCAGGACCAGAGTCTAGCCTGGGGGAGTGAAAACTTCTGGGGCAGATTTTCTGCTCATCTACACCAGTTCCACATTCTGTTGGATTTTGTGTAGTTGTTGAGTTTGGGAAATGTTTGGACACTGCTCTCAGAAATGTCATTTGATTTTTGGGAAGTCCTATGGAGACTCAGGAGTTGGATGCAATGATCCTTGTGGGTCCCCTATAACTCAGGATGTGATTCTGTGATTCTATTCTTCGTTCATGACCGGGCAAGAGATAAATATGTCCTTTTGCTTTTTGGATGATATGTGCCATACAGTAACTTTTCTCCTTTAGGAAAGGAAGTGAAAGGGAAATAGAATACTTATTAAAGCAATATGTAGGATGCCTGTGAACTAGGTACATGGACATTTTACAGTGTTCCAGACATGCTTTGCTGGGGCTGAATAGATTGACATGAAATGAATGGATTTCTCTCTTCTACTTTGTCAACCAGCTAAGCGTGTAGCAGCTAGGTGCAAAAAAAAAAAAAAAAAAAAAAAAGAAAAAAGTGTGCTGTGGGGTTTCTGTAATGTAAGCTGAATCAGTTTCATCTACTGATAAAGGCTTCACTTGGGAATTTAGGAGTCATGCTATGTTGTATCTTGATCTTTGCTAGTCCACCTTATGTTTTCACATGGAGATTTTCAAGTTTTCTGCTTCAAATATATAATAACAGTAAATGTCTGGGAAGATAGCAGCATGTTTATTTGCTTGACAGTGATTATGTCCTAGGAAGTCATGGGTATCCATCTCATAACTCAATTTTATGTGTCACTTCTGCATCAAATCTTGTTCAGAAATCTGATTGGTATGAATTATGTCTTCAAACAGTTTTAAATCACTATAAAATGAAAAGCACTGAAGGTATGTTGTAGTGATGAATTCTGCACTGGTTGACAGGTAAATTAGGCGAGCTAGTAGGTTTTGTCCATTTGTAACTTATATCAATGGCAAGCCACACCAGATGGAGCTGTTACGCATAAGCAATTCTTATTCCTAGCGAGCTATTGCTTTCTTGGGAGGATAAACAGCATATTAGTGCTTCATTTTTTATTCAGGATTCTCTCAAGAGGAAATAGTAGAAGCATTAATGGACTCATCTGGAGCCTAGGTCATATATTAGAAATGATTCTTGGAACACAGTTAAGTTTAGATTTGTAAAAGAATGGCTTTGTTAACATGCAGTTTGGCTACCTCATTTTTCATACAGTATATTTGGTTTGAATACATGTTTTAAATTTGACATTTATCAGCAATTAATAGATATTCTTTCTATTACTGTTACTCTCATCTTCTAGAGATAATGTTAGAGAATGTACCAGCAGATCTACCTTTGGCCTTGCATCAGATAGAAAACACAGAGATCTTAGAAAAGAGTGCATCAGATACAGCCTGGTAATATTAATCACATCCTCTGTGACTAGCAAAGTTTTTCAAGACTCTATTTATTTCATTTTTATGTCTTTTCTCTGTTCTTTATCACTTTCTTCTCATTATTTGTATAGTTCATTTTTCCTTTCGCCAATTTTTTTTATTTTTTTAATATTTTTTTTTTATATATGTGTGTGTGAAAGAAATGGATCAAACTAAATTTTTGAAGTCTCTGATTTTTAACATATAGCTAGAAGCTGATCTCTTAGGCGGTCACTATGGCCGCTCTTCAGCTAGAGACAATTCTTCTGTTTTATATAACATTTGCAGTTGGAATCTAGGGTAATTGGCATGTTAGAAATGTTTAAGTTGGGTATTTAGCTTGAAAACATTCAAAGTAGAGTCTTGATGGATTTTCATTCTTTTACTACTAAGTATTCTCTCTTGCACTGCGCTTTTGTTAGAGCAAGACCAATACTTCTGGCTGCTTTTTCAATTGCTTTTTAAATTGCTTTTATTGTACGGAGTTGAAGCTGTTCATCTCAGTTCCTGTTGTAATCAGAGTTGCCTTAAAATAACTGGTTTTGTGACCTTTTAAAAGATGTGAATAGAAAGAGGAGGAGGAATTACTTATTATTTAGAGCCGCATTGTAATACAGGGGAGAACTGTATATTGAAAAGGCTGGGAAGAATATGTAGAAAAATGTTATTTGGCTTTGCTGTGGCCAAAAGTCCCTTAAAACAAAAACCCTCAAATCAAAACCCAGCAAAGTCTTTATTTTTTTGTTCCAGTTATGCTTTTTAACCAATTTAAAATTTGTTCTAGTTCAGTAATTGAAAGGAACCTGGAACATTGTTCACTTTTGTATTTTCCTTATCTCTGAGGATCTTCAAGTTTCTGAGATTACAAAAGGGATACTTAGAAACTTACTTATTGTGAGAAGTGCTGCCCAAGACCTTGCCTTAGTATCCTGTGTGTTTATGTTAATCCCTGTTTGAGAGAGCATGTTTAACCATGCTTTAAGGTACATCCCTAGATTAGGGCTGGAAATAAAATGTAACAAATCAGACTCTGGAAGGTCCTGCAGGTAGTGTACCTCAGACAGGTAGGCTGCGGAGTAAGAGGGGAACTTAAAAGAGCACATTTGTTGCAAGAAGTGGAATGCATGGTTAGCAGGAATTAAATGTGAAGCTGAGAGATGGAGAAGGGGCAGAAAATGATCAGGTTGGTTAATTACTCAAAAGTAAGCATATATGATCTTGATGCTCAGGCTTGGTTTGGGGGACCTACACTTGAATAAATTGCCAGGTAGAACTTCCACACCTCCAGACAGAGAAACGTAGGGCTGGAAGAAAGTCTGGGGGGTTATTTGGATTCATTCTGCTGGGACTAAGCTGGAACAAACGCTTATACAGCAAAACCATGTGTCAGAACTTCCTATCTAAATACTCGCCACACAACCCCTAATGAACATTTATTTGAAGCAGTATTATAGCTGGATTTGTGGGCTGTTTCTTTGTAAGCCTAATTGCAAGATTTCTAATAGTTAGAACTTTAACAGTAGTAGTTGAAGTTCCTCTTTTCTTATTTTGATACAGTTAATTATAGCTGTTTAGTACAGCACTGCCTTCTAATGTCTTCAGTAACTCAGTATGTTGCTTGCAGTAAAAGCTAATGTGGGCATGCAGTTTTACATTGAATTCAGTGTGATCTCAGTTGATCAAATTCTTCTTTTTCTATTTTCCCCTTTTCAGGAGAGGAGCACACTTTGTGTGGTTGAGTGGTAGAGGAAAATGTATTAGTGAATTGAGTGAGTAGGGGTTTACTTGTATATGGTAACATAGGTGTTTTGCACCTGACCTCACATATCTTACCTGTGAGTACGCAATTCAGGGAAGTCAAATAGAAGAGGACACTTCCAGTCATTCAGCTCCATTATTCAGTGTAGTCAGAGGTTGCTTCAACTCCACCAGCGTAACAAGCAATATTGTTTTTACTGCAGCAGTTCAGTTCTTTTCACTGGAAAAGTGGAAAGGCAGATGCTAACTGGATCAAATACAGTGTCAGAGTTTGTGGGGTTCAGCACTTCAAAATATGAAATGAAGCCTTGTCCAATATTTCCTCCAAGGGCTATTCTGCATGTATTCACATTGTGGTGTATTTAATTTCATTGTTGAATTAAGAAATGGGCCAAATTTGGAGACCATTTTGTTTATTATCACAGAAGTCTGAAATATTTCCAGCAGAATTACAAATATAATATGCACACATAAGTGTAAATATAGACACATATATCAGAAGGAGAAAAACACAGCTAACTCATGTCTGTTTGATATTGTTATCTAAGCTTTTACAGATTGAAGTAATATCAAGTGCAACTAACAAATATCTAAATGATTCAGACCTCCTACATCTCAGATGTCTTGAAATTATATTCTTTGTTCTTACTGGTGTTTTTGTCTGGTAACAAGGAAAGTAGTTTTTTGTCTTTCTGACTACATCATCATAAATAAATAAAAAAAGTTGAGCTTGCTGCTTTATGTAGATACTATTACTTAATGAATCTTTAATTGTAAAATTTCTTTGTATCTCAGTCACCCAATCATCAGAAGAGACAGAATAGTGAGGGGGGGAAGCAGATGATCTGAAGTGGTTTATTCAAGCTCGCATATCAGAGTATTGCCAGAGTTGAAAATAGAATAGTAGTTGAACTGTTATAGTTTATTAATTATGCTGTTAAAATGTCAGCCAAAAAGTAAGTTAGATTTTGGCAGAGAAAATATTCTTAAATCTAAAGAAAAAAGATGTTGAATTGGGCTAAAATGTGCAGAGATTTTTATGCTTTTTTTTTAAAGAGGAAAGCTACTGTGAAAATTATCGGGATTAAATAAATATCCCTGGGTTTATTTTACTGACCTTTGGAAGTCTGTGTTGCAAATTATTGAAGTCTTGCAGATCACCTGCACTACACCTTAACTGCAAGTTATTCTTGACTGAAAGACATATCCTTATGTGATACTTATATTTGTGGATTCTTTGGGAATTATATTTGGACCATTTGGGTTAAAACATTCTGAACATCTGTGGATCACATCTAATGAATTATGTGAGCTAACTGCCATTGGTTTACATCTAACTCTTTAGACAGGTCACTGGGACAATCTGTGATCTGTCTAGATACTTCCTCTCTTACTACAGTCTCTACCTCTATTTTTTCCCTGGTCTTGTCTTCCTTGGTGTTAGGCTCTATGGGGATTTCCTTCACTTTGCTCATACTGTGTCCATGGCGGCCTTTTTATTTTCCTTATGGCATAATGCATGTTTCTTCCTTCTGTTGCCTTCTCTTCTTTATAACATCTTCAGCTCTGCTCTGATAAGTTCAGTCATAACTTGTCTGATGGTAATTTCCAAATCCATGCCTGTTATTGACACATTTTTCCCTTCTCAGATCTTAAACCTTCAGACATTTCTTCCTGGATGTCCTCATGCCTCATTATCACATCCCTGTATGTTTAGTCAAAATAGTGCATCATTTTGCCTCACAGTAGTTATTCCCTACTGTGAATGTTTTGTGCAATTTCACACTCCTTATTTTCTGTACTTCTTTCTGTATGTTCTGTACTCATTTCAGTCCTCTATTAGCTTTTTTTGTCTTCATAAAAAATCTGATTTCTTCCCTATTACATGCTATTTTTTAATTGAAACTGATTACTCCCATAGGTCCTTCTTCTTCCTAATGTAGTGTTTTTAATGATTTTTTATTTTATAATATCAGCTCTTATATTTAGTTGTATTATTATATGCATACAAATACCATATATGTAGTAATTAATTTTAAGAATGCTATGAGAGTAACCTTCTCCTTCAGCTTCTCCTGGCAGGGCCTACCATAATGATAGGATGACTTTTGTGTACACTGATTCACAGCTGTACCTAATTTGATTTGAATTATAAGTGCTTACAAATTTAGGCTACTTTACTTTTAACACACACAGGCCTGTGATCTCATCCTAATGTCTCTGAGATGTCAGCATGGTAGCACTTAAAGGCTTTCTAGAAGTGCAGTTGTTGTTTAAACCAAATACATAAGAAATGCCTTTGTCAAATTTTGTCAAATTTTCTCCAAACAGTTCCTTCCTGTGATAATCTGTGCCTTGATGAAGGTGGCTGTATTTGCAGGTGGTTCTATTTCCGGTTCCTCATTCGATTTATTGGGAAGATGGGTGGAATTTTTTATTTAAAAGAGCATTAAGTTTTTGTTTGCCTAGATCTTGTTGTGAAAGTTGTTTAGTGGGAAGCATGACTTTGAAAAGTGTGCGCGTATATTTTTTCACGGATGTCCCATATCCAGATAACTTTCAATATTGCTTTTTCATAGAGGTGAATGTTCTGATGTTTTATGTGACTGCAATTATTGGCAGGAAAATATTCAGCTTATCTCGTGATTGTGTCAGTTATTCGTGAATACGCTGTTCCTTCCTTAAATGTTAATTATAGATAATTACCATCCCCTGCCCAGCTTCTTCCAGCTGCCACCACCACCTCCTCAGCCTGCTGGCACAGCAGTGCCATCCTTTCATCGGAAGCAGCTCCAGCCTTCGGTTTTCAAACAAATTTCCTCCCACTTGATGTAGTGACAGAGAAGCCCTGTGGATGGTTTACATCGTCATTCTTTGGCTGCAGCCCCCTTTGTCATTACTAGGTGTTGCTGATGGCCATCAGGATCTACAGTCATTACTGTATGTGTCAGAATCTATCCTTTCCTTAAGTTTCCACCATTCCAAGCTCAATTTTAACTGTGATTTGCCTCATCTGAAACTAGGGCTTATCTTGGGATATTGTCAGTGTATGGTACCCGATATGACTGGAATTCTCTAGCACTTGGACATTATCATTGATTCCTTAAGGATTTATATTCAGACTGCTTTCTGCAGGAATTCTAGGTGTGCCTGCTCTTTTGGCATAAAATTTTAAGAGACTACCTTAGTAATTCAGAGTATGTCTACTGGAAGGTTATTTCTAGTTCACCATACAGCTGTGTGGAGCATAGTGACCACAATGCCGAGATTACAAACCAGAATAAAGAACCTAGTCTGACATAGATGTCACAATAGCACTTGCACTAAGCTGAGCCTGTGTGCTTATCTCTGTTTATTTTGTCTATGCTGTTTTCATAATAGCCACACAAACTGGATTTCTGTTAACCTTCCTTGCATGAATCCACTAGAAAAGGTCACCAGTGCCATCCATAACATACAGTGGCTCTATTGTTAACATATATTACCCTGTATGTATGATTTTATTTGGCTACCACTGATAGTTCTTTGTGATTCTTCAGTGAAAACGGTTCTGTAGTTCACTACTAGAGTGGTTTTTTGCTGTTTAGTAATAGCTTGAGTTGTCTTCAAGTTAAATAATCTTCAAAGATAATTTTTTTTGTCCTTTTTAAGATAAGATCATCACACGTGCTTCATCTGAGTATTTAAATCAGTGCCTCACTCCAAATACAAGAGTCTCTTTAAAGTGGGTCTGGTATTATGTACTAACTTCTATAACTGATGATATGGGTTTGGGCTGATGAATTTGCAGAGTCACAGAACTCCTGGCCTGTATGGAATCCAGGTTGCTGATTTATGCCTTGTTATTTATGCCTTCCCCTGTAAAAAAAAAAAAAATTGCTTCTGTCTTTGCTGAATTGTATCTTCCCCGTGTTTTTTCTAAATTCAGGATTACTTTATCTAGTTCTAAACTGAGAATTATGTATTATGCATTACGTGTTTGCATTGTTTATGCCTTTGAACCTTTCTAATTAAGGAAAAAATTGTGGACTGGAATCTTGAATTGATGTAAATCGGTAAAGCTCCATTAAGTTTTGGGGGAATACTTCTTGCTTTCAATATTAGCCCCTCAGCAAAAATGTGGTCAAGGAATGAGAATTCAATAGATAAGAGTTTGAACTGAAATGAGTTTAAATGGAATTTGTTAAGTCTGCCAAGTTCAGATATGTTAAAATCCTCATGTTAACAGAACAGAAAATCCATATGATCATTTTATTTACTGAACTGCTGAAACTGTTGATTCTACTGCAGACACATTTTTTAAATCTCCCAACTGTTAAAACTTAGGGGAAAAAAATTAACTGAAGGAAACAAGTTATTACTTGGTCATCTGCCACTCTTGTATTAAACCAAAATGTACGCTTTCACAGTAAGAACAGGAAGAGGTTTATCTAGTGGATAAAACAACTGCTGGAAATCAATCTTGTGTGTATCATTCCCTACGTTGGTATTAACTAAACCACACAGTTGGGAAAATCGTTCAGCTTGTGTCTTTACTACTGAGTTAACCTGAACAATCTGCCTCAGATTAGCTTAACATAGATGCAAGCAACTGCTCTGGAAAAACATCTCAAGGGCTTCACACAATGATTGAATGACTATGGAGCGATTGTGTTAGTGGCTGAGAAGATGTGCTGATGTATGCTGTAACTAGTGCTTCCTGACAGGTTGCCAGCTTGAATCAAAGCACTACCATGCTCGAGTTAAGGGCTGTAAAAGGCATAATCCATCATTAAGCAAGAAAATTATACCACAGAATCACAGAACAGCCAGGGTTGGAAGGGACCTCAAGGATCATGAAGCTCCAACTCCCCTGCCACATGCAGGGCCATCAACCTCCCCATTTAATACTAGACCAGGCTGCCCAGGGCCCCATTCAGTCTGGCCTTGTACACCTCCAGGGACAGGGCATCCACAACCTCTCTGGGCAGCCTGTTCCAGCACCTCACCACTCTCTCTGTAAAGAACTTTCCCCTGACATCCAACCTAAATCTTCCCTTGCTCAACTTAAAACCATTTCCTCTTGTCCTGCAGTTATCAACCCTTTCAAAGAGTTGATTCCCGTCCTGTTTGTAGGCTCCCTTTTAGGCACTGAAAGGCTGCAATTAGGTGACTGTGTAGCCTTCTTTTCTCCAGGCACTTGAGCCTGTCCTCATGGGGGAGGTGCTCCCATCCCCTGATCATCTTCCTGGCCCTCTGGACCCTCTCCAACAGCTCCCTGTCTTTTTTGTACTGGGACCAGTTCTTAATGTTTTGCAAGTCAGGTACATTTTATGTGCAAACTCTGCAAATTTGTGATGTTTGCTTGAAGGTGAAACATTTGTGGCTTTTTTTAAAAAAAATGTTTTTTGCTCATTTTTGGATTTGGGCCTTTTTCCACAAACAAAAAGACTAGAAGCACATTTTTTGTTTTAAATGAAAGCTGAGATTCTTACATAACTGCCTAATTCCAGAGCCTGGCTTCAGGAAAAGTGGAAAAAAAAAAAAAAAAAAAAAATTGTGCTTTCAATTGTTCATATAAAAATTAGATTTTCAAAGCATTGAACATACATGGAAAAAAAAATACTAAATACTCCAAAATCTGACTTCTCTCTAAACCCTGAGTTTTCTAACTCTGTGGCTATTTTGGATTTTTTAAAAACAATTTAGCAAAATTCAAAGAATTAATTAGCTAATCTCAGCTTGGGGCATCAACAGCTGCTTGAAAATCTTGGCTTGCTGCTGCTGTGCATTTTTGAGAATTCTGGCTGAAGAGAGATCAGCTCAGAGGGATTTTCTCTGACTTAGTACTGAGCATTTTTATTGTTCCTTCTCAAAGAGAGAAAGCACATGTAAATGTTGGAAACAATTCTGAATTTGCAAGAAGGTAAACTAAATGTTTGAGCAGTACTTTTTACCACTGCCTTCTTATCATTTTCCTTCCATATCCATAAAAAATATATTTTTTCTACAAAAAAAAAAAAACAGTTTATTGAACTCAGTCTTCACTTGATAGAGGACATTGTCTATAGCTTTTGTGCCATTTCGGCTTGAAGATTAGCACAGTTTTCCTGGATGGTTAAAATTCCAGGTTGGATTGGCTATCAGAAAAAGAGTAAAAACATTCATATATTAAACATTGTATTTGATTTCCTTTTCCATGCATGTAGGGAGAAAGAATGGTGTGTGCCAATACAGCTACTTTTAAATAAGCCATACTGCAGCTTTTGCTGAAGTAAGGGGGATTCAAAAACCTGTTATTGTTCATTAACTGTGCTGAAGGCACAAAAGCACGGTTTCATTTAAAGTGCATTTCTGTTCTGAAAGGAAGCTCTGAAAAGACCTCTTGGGGCTGCTAATTTCTTCCTTTTCAGTGTTTTCTATATGTAATCTGTTCACTTGTCAAGTAACCTGCAACTTTTTAAGCTGTCAGCAGGTCAAATTTTATTTGTGAACTGACCTTGACCGAGATGAATTTTGCCTGTCATTTTTATTTTCAGTGTGGTTGTCACTTCTATTGGCGTACCAGACAGGAATTCTCCTCATATCTTAGATGTATAACATAATATATAGTGTTATTTGAGGTCTCTCTTCAGCAAGTATAAAAAGCTAGAAGCACGTTATTTCATTCACTGAAGAAAGCAGGGAAGTAGAGCTTGATTGTACAGAGAAATACTTTTATAATGAATTTGCAAGCAGGAATGTTCAGAATCAATGGTATTTTCTAAGGAAAATTTATTTCCATCTATATACAATCATAAATATAGTCGTCTTCATATTAAATCCATCTCTGTTAGCAAGCTTAACTTTGAAGGGCAGTTTTGACCCCATTGTTATGTGGCATCAATGTAATAATAATACATCTTAGGGTTAAAAAGGGTGACATCCAAATGGAGCTCATCAGATGTTAAAAGAGAAAGGAGACTTCAACTTAGTTCCATATCCAATTAACTGATTTTCTTATTTGCACATTAAAGCAGCACAAAAATGAGATTCTTCCAGCTATGAAATTATGCTATATAGAAAAATCTGTCAAGGACTATTTCTTCATTGCTTGTTCCTTGCATGCCTGCTCAAAGAGTTGTTTTGGGAACAGGGCAGAAGGTGGTCTGCTCTGACTGCTAAACTTCTCATTAAAGCATAGTGCAACAATATATAAAAACAGCTCTAGTTTATATTTGGTACTAAAACCAGAGAGTTACAGACCATCTTTTGTAAAATCTTCCTTCTTTTGTGCCAAATGTAGCTTCATTTCAACCAGGGTTGCTGATATATCTTTAAATTGTTACACCCTTGATAATGTTTTTGATAAGTACCATAGCTTTCCTAGTTGACTTTCAGAGCCATTTGTTACTGAAGCCAGACTATATTTGGTTATTCAACTTACCAATAGATTTTTATTGAAGTCCCCTTGTAGATGTCATTGACATTGCAGACATCACAGGCTCTCCATGATAGCAGACTTCTGACTGTTGCGCACAGGTGAGCAAACTAGGTTTCACTAGAACTCAAGTGATGTTTGATCCTCCTCCTTGTTTCCAGCTGCAAGTTTGCCTGTAAAAAAAAATTGCCACACCTTTTGTAGCTGCCCTTTCATATGTGAATCATGGCATAGACAGTTAATTCAATTGGCATCTCTTTTCCAAAAACTTCTTTTTTCCCCCCACCCTAAATAAGACAAGGATCTTGCTAGGAAAGTCACTTTTTATCTGGATTTTAAAAGGATGCAGGTAAGTGGAGTCCAAAACCCCCATAGGCAGATGGCTTTCACCTCAGATGAAGAAAGAATCTGTGAATCTGTTGGCCATAAAACCCATCAACTTTTAAGAAACAAAAAATGAGGGGAAAGGTGCATGAGAAAGGAGAGGGGGGCTAGAATGTATGATGCTCAAAATGGAAAGAAAAAAAAAAACAGAGGAAAATACTGCGTAGGAAACATTAGTTTTTAATAGTGGCAGAAATTTGTAGTTAATTAACAGAACAAACGCTAGTTAGTACCATTTAAGCCTTTCTACATTATACCACAATGATTATTCAGTCCTGAATGGAGGATTAGCCAAATTATTCCCCCCAAGCTGAAAACTGACACAGCCAATGAAACAGCACCAGTGCTGGATCCTGCTACTGTTTGAACTGCATTGGCATCTTTGACTGAACAATGCACTATTGACATAGCTGAGGCAGCATGAGACAGTAAGTGAAAAAGAGAAAAAAGCTGCAATTGGCATTAGTGTCTTGGCTTGTACAATGAAAGAGATGGGAAAGAGGTGAATAGTAACTGTTTGGCATCCTTGGGAGAGGTTTTGAGGAATACCTGCGTGCTCTGTAAAACCAGTACTGTAATCACAGTTGACATTCACTGACTTGAGAAATTCTGTGATTGGTTCCTGAGACCAACTGCTTATTTCACATAGGCACAACTAAGCTGTAGAATTGAGTCATGTTGAAGCATTACACTACACAGAACTCAATTCTAAGGAGTTGTGAGAATACACCAAAACTGGGTATAGGTAATTTCACCTCTTGTCAGTACTGATTTGAAAATTCTTGTCCTCATTATTAATTAATTTGAGTGGACATCACAATTTGATAGCTGCACTGAAATCACGGATCATAGCAGATGTGTTCAGGAATGTTCTATCTGTCTCCTGTGGACCTGTTTCTTTGCAGATGTAGGGATGAGATGCAGCTACATGAAGGCAACAGGGTAATGCTACCCATAAGAGAAAATAATGTGAGATAACTAGCTGTTCCCAGAAAGAAATGAAAACTAATTATGAGGCAAATGTTGTCTAACTCTTTAAAAGTAGCTTCTAAAGAGCATATTGCTGGAAGCTAGGAGAAAAAAAAAAAAGATGATACCAAAGCTTATGGACATTAAAAGCATTAGCACAGAGCCTAATATGCATGTATTGATGCACTCTGATGTGCCAATGCATCACCATGTTACTGTACTTGTGCATCCACGTGTCATCCCTGCTCCCATGTGTCATCGCTGACTCCTCTGTGATTTTCTTTTTGTTGGCAGATTATTGTTAATGTATTTTGGTTTGATCCTTTGACATTGCCTTAATGAGTACAAATGATTCGCTTTTTTAATAAAAGAGAAAATAAATTAAATACAAGTCCAGGGTTTAATAAGGTATTAATGATACTTTTGATTGTAGCTAATCCAATCCTGTGTAGAAATTTTCATAGTTTTCACACTGATGGAGGGAGAGCTTTGAAGGATATTTCATCTATGCACCATCCTCTTACAATACATATATTAAATGGATTTAATAGTTTAAAGTTGAGTCAGTTATTTGCTTCATGAGCTGCTACTTATCATCACACAGATAATCGCATTTGGCAGCCTTCTTTTAGTTGAGCAATGCAAATTGAATTACTATACCGCAGAGATAAAATTTGCTCATGATTTCTACTGCTTGTAAGGTGAGGACTACAGGGGAGGATTCTTATTGTGCCTCCTGCCATATGGTACTTTGCCTGGAAATAGAATGTTTGATCTTTGGCTTCACACAGCATTACACTGAGTATGCACAAATGGCTCTAAAAAAGTTGGGTGGTATTTCATGTACTTTTGTTGTACTTTGCTCAGCAGCAGTACAACCTGTGAAAACAGTTTACTGAAGAGTTATCTTTAAAGGAATTTCCTGCAAAATTTTTCAAGCACATGAGAGCATTTCTTTGAATTGTCTATTCTGGGTTTGCTTTGATACTGGTGCCTGGATTATTATCCTACAGAATCCGAGCTGAGTATTTGAGGGAAAATCCACATGCCATCCTGCTACAGAGAACTAGAAACAGCTGTCTAATAGGAATGGGAGCTTAAAGCTTACTAAGTCTTATTTTTTCCGGATGGCACCCAGGATTATCACTGAATTGTGGTGGTGGGTTGTTTTTTTGTTGTTTTTTTATGCATTTTGTGTGTGTGTTTGCTTTTTTTATTTTGGCATTGTAAGATTTTAAATTTAACAGTTTTCATGTATGAAAGGATTTGCTGAGTTTGCTGTTTTTCTCCACTGGCACTTCAGAACTAGTGGCATGTCAGCACGTGCAGTTGGAAAGGGTTATTTTTAAGTCTGATTTCTGTGTGATATTTTTAATGAATTTAGACTGCCTATAATTCTGTAAAAATGTGGTTTTAGTGTACTGTGGCACACATGATTTCCTCATGTGCTCAGCCTGGAGAAGAGGAGGCTCAGAGGAGACCTCATTGCTCTCTATAACTTCCTGAAGGGAGGTTGTAGTGAGCTGGGGGTCGGCCTCTTCTCTTGTGTCATTAGTGATAGGACTAGGGGGAATGGTTTCAAGCTACGGCAGGGGAGATTCAGGCTGGACATGAGGAAGTATTACTTTTCAGAAAGGGTGGTCAGGCACTGGAACGGACTGCCCAGGGAGGTGGTGGAATCACCGAGCCTGGGGGTGTTCAAGGAAAGACTGGATGTTGTGTTGAGGGACATGGTTTAGTGGGAGCTATTGGGAATAGGTGAACGGTTGGACTGGATGATCTTTTAGGTCTTTTCCAACCTTGGTGATTCTATGATTCTATCATTCTATGATAACTATTAAAATTTACTGTGCCTTGTTTGGGAAAAGGAAGTGCCTTGTTAAAAAGGAAGGCTAGTGGATGATATTTTGTATATACGTGCACTAATTTCAGCGTGACATTATGATCTTCAGGTTTCAACTGTTAACAGCAAAATGCTTAAGTAAAAGAAGTCAGTACATTTCTACGAACAAAAGTGACCCTGCTCCTTTCTAAATTGCACAGTTGCTGTCAGAAAACTGAAAGTACGTTGTTACAAAAAAAAGATCAGATGAGTGGATTATGACATTCATCAGGACTGACACGCTTATTGGGCTATTGTGAGCTCACCACAGTCATTTCTGAGATTGTGACTGCTCTATCGTCTGAGCTAATATGTGAAATGGAACTAGCGGATGGCTCTTGACATCTTGATAGTGCAAAAGAGAATATGGGAAGAGTTTCTTCCATTGATTCAGGATGATGACCTGCTTTCAGTAAAAATCGTCTGAGTATGTTGGTTTTGAAGAACAGTGTGGGTTAAAACCCACAGATATTTTGAAAGCAACGGTAATTCTAAGGCATACTTACCCTTTGGATTTAGAGCAGCTCAGCTGACATGGGTCCTCTGCACTGTGTGGGGATGGTAAGAGTGGTGATTTCCTGGCTTTCACTAAAATCTTCAAGTGGTTTATGTTGGTATGGAATTATGAATTAGTGCAAGCTACAGTACCAAGGAGATTTGCAATTTCAACTTTTGGTGCTCAGACTGTTGACATTTTACTGCTGATGCCTAGTAAGGATGCATGCATTTTCATGAGAGTCATCCAAAGAAGCTTATTTCTGCACACAGTGAAAGTTGGTGTTCCATAACTGAGACACAAATACACATAGTTGAATGTAACACGAAGCCTGAGGAAGATGAGGCTCTGCAATGTAAAAAGGAAATTGCATGTAAATATAAACACACTAAGTGCAGAGTTGACTAAAGCTGCTTGCAGTGCTTAAACAAATGGCACTAAATTGAAATATTCAATCTGGCTTATGAGTATGCTTATGGAGGGAGATAACGTGGAAGTATTTAATTCCGCCTTTTGCCTGTCCTTACTCTCCTTATACATGTGCCCTGGGTGAGTCCAATGGTGGGCACCCACTGAAAGCCAGGAGTAGATATCACAGCTTGTATATGTAATGTATCCTGACATGTGCACCCAGGGCAGAGGGGGAACAAGATGCAGGCATTTCAGAAATCCAATCCCAAGTTGGAGGAACTGCACAAGGATCACTGAGACCTACTCCACATGGGACCACCCAAAATCAAATAACGTTTCTGAGAGCACTGTCCAAACATTTCTTGAACTCAGTATTGCACAAAATTCCATTCAATGTGAACTGGTATAAATTAACAGGAAATATTCCCGAAGAGCTTTCACAAAGAAAAGATGTGTGTGTTATTTGCCTGATCACCTTCACTGCAAAGGCAGAGGGAACCAGTTGATAATGTATTTTCAAAAAGCTACAGCTCCTTTCTTCCTATGAGGAGAAGGTAAAGAGGTGTAACATGCTTGAACGTTTAGCAGGTATTAAGGGTCAGCATGTTTGTTGCCTGTGTGAGTAAATCAAGAGCTGATAAGGTGAAGACATCACGTGTCGAGGTGGGTTATAAAACCACAGATCCACGTGGTTGTTGAGATGTTCTGTCAGGCTTAGGAGATTTTGAAATTTAACTTCATTGGCAGACTGCCTCACACGGTATGGACAGGGCATATGGGAACAATGCTCTGCTGGAACTCAGAAGTAATCTGGTAACAGCCTAAGCACGGGCCGGTGTCACTGGCATGCCTGGGTTGCCCCTGTCTGCTGCAGATCAGATCTGCGTTCAGAGCCACTCAGACATCTTAAGCTCTGCGGCTTCTGTGATGCTGTTGTGGGGCATGCTCTTTGCATACTTGTGTTAGCTCCTTAGCCACAGGCAGCTCAGTCAGAGCTTTCTATCAAAGGTGAGTCATTCTTCCTGTCATATCACAATCAAGATGTTTTTAATATTTTCAACATTTGGAGTAAAAGGTGGCAGTGTCACTACCTCAAATTCGTGGTTAGAGAAGCTTTCCTTGTGTCCCTGCTCATGTCATTTTTGGGGAGAGGGAGCAAGCTGCAGAACAATCACAATTTCAGTATAGACTTGGCCTTCTTGTGCCCTCCCTTCCCCCTGTGCTTGATAAGTTGAGCTGCAGGAGTCATGGTTTTGCAGCAGTACCAGCAGGATAAATATTTCTGTATTTCTAGTTGATTTAAAGATGATTGGTGTATGTTCTTCTCCTTTTTTGGCAAAGGTTAGCCCTGTTAGATGTACTGCTTTCAGCTCCTCTTCCCATCTGTTCTGTCTCTTTTCAGTGAAAACTAAGGAGATGTAGCTCCCACTCAGGCTGCCAGATCGCCACGTCTCCCATACGTGAGAAAATATCTCTGCTGAGGTAGAGCGGTGCTCTCCTGCCTGAACTCACCATATTGTAGGCTGTGGGCAGAGCAGAAACACAGTAATGATATACCCCCTTTGTTAGCTTGTACAAATGAGAGAATACCACTGCCCTTTGCTTAAGTGATGAAGATACCCAGGCCTGAGGAATCTGAGTCCAGACAGTCTTTTCGTGATCAACCGGATTACCAGAGCAGTGGATAAGAAAAACAGATCTGTGTTTAAAATCTTGAAAACACAGTACAGTGAGTAAATAAGGAAAAATGCAGACTTTATAGATGATGATTATTCCAAATTTACGATTATCTGGATAGTAAAACCATGAGAAAAGCAAATACGCTAAAAAGCTGCAGACTACCTTGGATATCACTGGCAGGTAGCCATTTCATTAAGGATGAAATCTTATTTAGTAGAGTCCAGAAACTTGTTTAACTTCCCTGACTACTAAAGATTTTGTAGTATCTATGTATTGGAAGAATTGCATGATGTGAATTCTATTTAGAGAGAAGTGTTACGTTACAGAGAAGCTGTCTTTGTGCTTATTCATATGAAAGTACTTCTCTGACGTGAGGAGGTGTTTAGTTCAAGTAGTTATTAGAAATACAACATCATCTTACTCTACATATGAACCGTGTTGGTTTGCAATGAAGCTGTTTGCTTTTCCTTGGCATCGGAAGCCTTGGCTCATTTCCCTCTTCTTTTCTTTGACATCTTCTGGTCTTTGGATTTCCTATTTAGTATCAACTTTGCATAAGTGAAATTGCATTGGAAAGATACCATTACTGTTTTTTTATTAATGTTTCTTGAGATTTTGGTTTATACTGGTTCAACCACTGTTAGTGTTATACTGTGAAATATTCTACAGTGAAGGGAAGGAAATTGCCAGCTGGGTAATAGCTCCCCTGATGACACATTAGTTTTGCCAAATCATGCAACAGGGAATATTCCCTCTGGGTGGCAGTAGGGGAAATGGTGTTTCTTGCACAGCTACTTGTCATGGTGGGTACAAACCTTTATAAACCTTCCCATTATATGGAAGGATGCACCCTGTATTGTAGTTCTGCTTCAGCACTGCTGGAGTCTCAGGCCATGGCTCTTTGCTGTCCTGGGCCACTGCTGGAATACTTGCACTTCTGCCCTGTTTTGAATCGAAGAGATGAAAGACAAATGGAGAGTGTAATAAAGAATGTAGTTGTTCAAATACATGGTTTGTATGCTCCCATGTTGGTCATGGTATTTTAGCCAGAGTTGCAGGAAGGATCATATTGTGTAGGAGCATGTCAGAAGCTGTAGCACTTTTTTCTCCTGGAGAAGAGGGCTCCTTAATGCTTTTTTAGTTATTAATTATTTTAATTAATTTTTATTGGCTGGATTTTTATTTAAAAACATATGCTTTGGGTGCTGATTAATTTTTCCCATTCTGTATTTCATATAGCAGCAAATAACTCCTCTGAGAAATTTTGCTTTTGGCAGCAAGTGAGGCTGACAAGTTCTTTTATTTTTGACTTTCCAGAGTTGGTTCCAAAAGGATATTCCTCCTAATTGCCACATGGAGGGAATGTTATTACTGAATTTAACTAAATTGCATACAACTAATAACAGTACAGTATATACTTAGAGTAGTGTATACATACATACATATATATATAAAAGTATATGATATACAATAGTAATACATTACTACGGGAAGCCTGCTTGACTGTTAAATTTATATAAGGTTCTTCCAGTATCTTAAAATACTCATCTGTAGGTAGAGTCACTGCAGATTGCTGCATCTTGACCAGCAGCTTGTGGGTTTTTCTGATGTTTGCTATAAATACAATATCTCAAGACTACAGTGCAACCAGTTTTCTCCCACTTAATGTTATATTTCTGCTGTCATTTTCCTTGTTCGAAGGTAAGCAGTGAAAAACTGTACAGAAAGGAAAGTGACCCGTTTTTTTATTTTACAAGTACTTGAGTTTGTTTGGATTGATAGGCAAATGTCTTTTACTCATGGTATGACTTGCATTTATACAGCCATTCTGTTCTGTAAGGCCACACATCTCCTCGCAGTGCAGCTCAGAGGCTGTGATGTGGAGTTATGTAGCAACCTGGACTCACTTTCTTGAAACAAATCCTGAAAAATACTGGTGTGCTGATGATCTTTAGGTGCAGAGGTACTCTGCATACTCCTGAATGGCATTCTGCTTATTCAATTATTGAATGAGTATTATTATGCAGTTGTACTGGTGAATTAGTTTATATCCATGTTACTTTCATTTTTCCTTGTGATTACTGAAGGAGGACCAGAAATACAACATTTACCTATGATTAGGAGTATCAGAAATATCTAAAGAAAATTTACAATAAATTTGAACGATTTTTCTTTTCTAAGATTTAAAAGAAAAGAAGCATCTTTATTTTGGAAAACCTCTGTTCAACATATGAAGTGCTAATTCTGGTTCCTGTCAGAATACAACAGGTCTTAGTGAGAGCAGGTCTTAATGAAAGGCCTACTGAAATCAGTAAAGGAATTGCAGTAAGTCATCATTGTTGAACTTGTGTTTTACAGATTGTTAGTACCATTAAGCAAACTGTAGTGATTTTTAAATAGTAGGTTGAAGAATTTAGGGAGATTTCACAAAATGGTAAATTGGACTTTTGGAAGGAAGGTAAGATTAGTGTATACAAGGTTTTAAAAACAACCTGTTGCCAAAATATTCATTCCAGGATGATGTGTTTGTTGTAATGGACACCAAGTGAAAAAACAAGCTATGAAATCTCGACCTTTGCACAAACAGGGTTCAAGTCTTTATGAAGCTAAACACATGAAGCATGTGAATATACGGACTACAAATGGACTGTTTTTGTATTTGTAAAAAACTCAAACACTTCAGAATTGAAAAGTAATTCTAGTCTGAAACTAGAGTGTCCTCTCACTGCAGCTAAGAATTTCAAGTGTGTTTGGTGATTCATGAATGGCTGGTAACTCAGTCCATTTTTCACTCTCTTGCCTCTGTGTTTAACATAAATTCTTCAGTTGAACTGTACACAACCTCAGTGCCACACAGAATTAAACGCAGAACTCATGACTTCATACATTCCTATTTTCCACCTATTGTTTCTGTTTCATCTCTTTCTTTGCTAGATAGTGATAGTAGTCTTCATGGGAAAATTCTTGGAATAACTTTATTCTTTGTGAATGGTTTGTTGTTTGATTTGCAGAGTTATATAAAAATTTGCAGTTAAGAACTTGATGGATTGTTACAGTCATTGCATAATATTTCAGAGCAAGCCACACTTAAAGCCAAGACTGTTATTTCAGAATGGTGTTTTTAGTGCCTGTGCTGACCATTTTGGAAATATAATTAGAGACCATTCAGGAGAGTTAATTCTGAAAATAGGACATTAATAATGTATCATGTTTGGTACACTGGAGGTTGGTTTAAGTGACTAGTATGATGGTAAATAGTGACACCTATAATAGTTTCAGTTCTCTGTTTTTTTCTACAAAGCAGAAAAGAGATTCTGATTTCTCAGGTTGCAGTGTACTAAGTGGGAAGATACACTCATGTTTGGTCGTATTTTTCTACAGGTGTATCCTTATTCTTCACTATTCTGTTTGTAGGTCCTGTAAAATACATAAAATATGTATACTTCTGTTTCAGCCATTCATGAATTTCCTGACGATATATTCACAAATAAAGAACGGCAGCAAGGAGGGGTTCTCCTTCACATCATTGCTGTAAGTTTTCCTCTACCGTGCTTAATTTTTCTTTTATTTCTTTTGTAAGATATTGATCATGTTAGTTTTTGATCATTAACCCTTAACAAACAGCCCTCTGTATTTATCGACCTATTTCTAATACTTTAATTTTGTATTTTAGATATCCCTGTGTAGGTACAAATGCTCAAAAAGTAGTATTTATTTAAGAATATTATACAGGTCTGAATTTACAGTGCCTGTATATTCATCCTCTTGCTGATAAAATCCTGGCTCAATGAAGCACAGAGGCATTGTAAACAGGGCTTGGGGTTCCTTTGTTGATGACATAATCTGTGATGTGGAAGATTCTTGAATCTCTTTTCTATTGTTCCTGTATGCAAAAGATGCAATTGTAATTTAAAAAAAAATGCAAATCTGATTAAATATGTATATTTAAAAAACACATTGAGATTTATATTTTATTGTAGAAAAAGCAAAACAAATAAGACCTACAGGCTTCAGTTTTCCATTCTTAGCTCAGGAAAAATAATGTAACAAAAGAGACGTTTTTGATGGAGAACAGCAGGATTAGGCCTACTTTCAGGAAACATAAGGTTACATAATATAGTGGGAGCATTGTAAGTGTGCATGAAATCAGGATCATTACTGAGAGGTGTGTTGCAATGAGCCATGCTCAGCGTCCACTTATTTCTAGGTATGATTATTTTATGTTGCTAATCTGCGTGCTGTTGCTTTCTTTTCAATTACTTGATCCATTTATCAATTGAAAATATAAATGAGGACCACGTAACTTGGTAAAGTCCTGCCTGTTATTTTCCTGTCTATGAAATTTTTTTTACTCCCTTTTCATTCGGACTGTCATGCTTTTCAGATTCTAGGGTTTGGCAACCATTACTGTCCTAACCCTAGGTATAAGAATCTACTTTTATGCCATGCATTGATCAGCAGAGGTGTTTTTGTTTAAAATGGGGTAGAAAATGAAGTTATGTATTCTTATCTGTCTGAATTAATGTAGCATTACTTTTTTCCTCTTTTTGTGCAGAGGAAACATCTGAAGTATTTCTTGAATTTACTTTCTTACAGGCTCTGTATATGTTCTATGCTTTGGCTATAGTATGTGATGACTTCTTTGTTCCATCCTTAGAGAAAATTTGTGAGGTATGTTAAAGAACTTTATCCCTCTTTTGAAAACGTATTTACACACTGCAGTGAACATTTTGTGCCCTCATTGTTTGGAGTTCCTTCCTGTTAATTTTTTGGCTGCAGTCCTTTTCAGAGTATTAAGGCATTCCATCAAAAATCTAAGCTGTAAACTTAGCCCATTAGTCCCCATGGGGTCATTCAAGGAGTAAAAATGAAAAATTTCAGGAGGTCAATTGGTAAAATCCACTCTTGAGTGTCTGAAGCATGTAGGTAGGGTGGATATGAAATATGGATGATTTGGGTTTGTTACTGTACTCTAGTTTTAAGATTCATTTGTGAAGAAAAAAAAATTGTGCATTTTCAAATTAATACGTTGGCTGTACAATTTTTGTTAAGCATCCACCACTGTATCAACATGGAGCAGGTGCTTAGGATCAAGTGTAGAAAAGGGAGAATGTAAATGAAAAGTATCTATCGTGATTTGATATGGAATGAGAATACATATTTTTATATTAAATAAAAATAGCAAATTCCTTTACGTAATTGCTGTGAAGATGTTGAAAAATTACATGCAGAATTCTAATTAAGAGTGATCATCAGGAGGGATTAGAATCTATACATGGCAAGAACATCTTGTATTGGTTAAGTGTTCAGTGGACTATTGCAAAGTGCACACAAAATACAAAACCAGATTTTTCTTCCTTTGTGATGGCAAAATTGGAAAAACTCATGTTCAGTGTTTTTAAGGAAGTGACAGTTTTCTGAAAAATGCATGTAATTAATATAAAAGCATGTCAATTTTCCTATGGAAATGTAGACAGATACGCAATTCCTATTAATGTTATGTGGAGCTATGTACTTTTACTTACCAGTAGAGGGACAGGTGGAAGAATTAGGGAGGCAACCAAGATGAACAAAGTATTAAATAGGAATTTATTCTTTCCCTTTTCAGGTCTTCTATCTTCAGCATACTTCATACACACCTGCTTTAAATTGTACCAGTTGGGTTGTACCAATTAATTCATTGTTCTTTCTTAAAATCTTTGTCTTTTGTCTCATGTTCTTCTGAATATTGAGACAGCTAAGAAGAATTCAAATCGTGTACCTATATTTGAGCTCCTTCAGCAGTATGACTAGTGATAGATCACATGATAAAATAAGAAAATGTGTTTCTGTTTTCTCATGTTTTGTAGCATGCCATTTTTATCAGTATAAAATGTTGTGTATTGCCTGAGAAGTACATTATTTCTGTACTGGTCCTTCCTGTCATTATTCACTTTTCTGTC